TATTTACGTACAAGATTATCCATTAATAGAATGTTTCGGAAGGACACAATCACAAACTTTATTTATATGGCTTACCGACGATTCACAAAGCACATTTCAAGTTTGTGGCGCAATGTTCTTGCAGAAGAATGAAAGTATCGAATAAAGACAAAATATATAAGGAGTCCGTGCCATGTTTCTCAAACTTACGTTTTATATCCGCAATTTGGATCACTAATAAATAAATAAAAAAGCCTGAATTTAAGTTTTTATTTTTATTTTACCTCTTAATACTAATATAATCAAAATGTTGAAAAACCCAAAGAAAAATTCAAAACGTCTGACGATTGTCACATCACGAGTAAATCCATCGATAATATCTCCCTCGAGCACAATTTCCTCGAGTTCATATTTCAGTCCGCGAAGTCGTAGTCCCTTAACCACGGCGTCTAGCCGCAATTCCATGATAGCATCAAGTCCTCCTTCGCGCCCTAATTATTATCTACGAGCGGATCCCACAAGAGATTTGGTTGACATATTGCTGTCAACATTTCTCGAAGAACAGCTGCACTGCACCACCAACAAGCGGATCGCTGAAATACTTGTCGAGTCTATTGAAAATCGTGGCGAAACTCCTAGGAATATATACCTTTGGTTGATAAGTTATCAAAATATACTTAAATACAAAAGTCTTCTTGGTTTCTTTCTATTGATGGAAATTGGATGCGAAAAGAATATGCTTAAGGCCTTTGCTCTATTTCTTGCTGCTGCAAAGAAAGATTTTATCATTGCCCAAGAGATGGTAGGGGATTGTTATTATTACGGATGGGGAACTCAAGAAAATTATGAGATGGCATTCCATTGGTATGGAAAGGCGGCAGGGAATGGAAGCGCCTACGGTTATCACGGTCTCGGTTTCTGTTATGAGTACGGCCGAGGAACGTCAATATGTTTGCGCAAAGCTTTTGAATGCTACAGGACGTCGGCTAGAATGGGAAGTCTTTATGGGATGAGCGATGTGGCCAGGAGATACCAAAGGGGAATCGGAATCTCCAAAAGCCTGGAGCAAAGTATTTATTGGTATAAAAAGGCGTTTGAAAACGGATGCGAGAAGGCC